AAAACGCTCTGCCAACTAGATGCCGAACACTAGGCCCGCCTCTTGTAGCGTGGCTGAGCACCTCTATCACGCCTGCGCCTGCCCCGGTGGCCTGCCGGGAGTTGGAGTTCCATTCTGGCGTACAAAGGCCAGTCAGAGGCCAAAAACCAAGGAGGGAAAAGAACAAAAGGGTGAAGAAAGAAGCACGGCCTCCTAGCCAGGGCGTAGTATCTTCCGCTTTCTTCTCTTGGAGACCACAGCCCGATTAAGCCAGAGAGGTTGCCCTGCATCTCCTCACGACGTTAGAGCTTATCTTGAGTCGGGCCTTAACTTCCACGTCGGGCCTAATTTAGGCGCTGGTCTGTGTTGGGTTCTTCTGGGATTAGCCCTCATTTGACAGCCGGGGCCTGAGAGGAAAGCGGCTGCCGCCCACTCCCCAGGGGGCACTCAGCGGCCGCGCTGTAACTTTGAGCTCCGCCCACGCACTACGTCTCCCAGCAGTGCCTGCGGCACCCTCACCCGGCCACTCACACTACAACTCCCAGAAAGCCCCGCGCCGCCCGTGCGCTGGCTAGTGCAGTCCGCGGCTTGGCCAGGGGGCGTCCCGGCCGCATCGCTATTAACCCTATAGGGGAATCTAACCTTATCCTTCTAAAGAGGGCGCCCCTTGAGGGGCGGATTGAGTTGCGCCCAGTGGAGGGGAAGCGAAAACCCTGAGGGAATACAGAAGGGAGGGTGGGGGACAGGGCGCCTAAGGAGGAGCGAGTCAAGCTTCAGGGCTGAGAAGAGTCGTCCTTATCATCCCTGAGAGCTTGTCTCCTAAAAGGATTTCTGACGGTTTCCTGTACGGATGGGCTCTCGGGGCTCTGGGGGCCTAAGCCGGGGAGACCATCAGGATGCTAGCAGTCCCTGACCGGCTGAAGGTGGGAAGCCGAAAAACCCAGCTGGGAAAAGAACAGACTTACCTCTTGACCCGCAAAAATCCACTAGATCGTCGGCTCCAAGATCTGAGAGGCCTCAAACAGATTCCAAATCCGCAGGCAGAGTTCTCTGAGACTTTGGGTGTTTGGGAAGATTCTGGAGATCACTGGCAGATCCCGGATATCTCAGCCCCGTAGGCAGATTTCAAATCCGTAGACTTGCAGGCAGAGCCCAAAGATCCGTAGGCAGATCCCAAAGACTCCCAGACTCTCAGGCAGCTCAGGGAAACCACAGACTCATAGGCAGATCTCTGAGACCACAGCAGCTAGCCAAGAAACACCAGCAGCAGCTAAGCTGCATTCAGCTGGAGTTCTTCCGAACGGAAGGACTTGAAACCTTCCCTTTCCCCAGCCAGGATGAGAAAACTAGACAATGGCAGCGGAGCATTAGGGTAAGCAGGCATTCTGCGTGGGGAAGAGCTCTGAGCTCGCTGTAGCCTTGGAGAGGGAAGTGATGGAAAAAGAATATAGCAGCTTATTAGGGACTCCCACCCTCTTCAAGTTATAAATATCCCCAGAACCTTGGCTACGTGCCCAGAAGCCTGTTGTCTCTAACTTTACAGGAGACTTCTCTGCCTGGGCTGGGAAAGGGGCTTTTCTTTTGTTTTGCAGATACATCCACCCACTGAGTGACTTGAATTTCCCCCCCCTTCACCCCCAACATGACTCCAGGCAATGCTTTTATTAGTGAGTGTCCTGTTCCCAGTGCCCAGTTATTTATGGTTAAATTACTCAAGTGTCTAAAAAGAACTAGGACCCTACCCAGCCATGAGGCGGACTCCCCCACTCCCACTCCTCTTCTCACCCCCAGCTGTGAGGCTAGGAATTCTTTAGATAGCTCAGAATTGTACCATCCTACCCCATCTGAAATTTATTTGGGTACCACAAAAAAAGGGGGGGAAGGAATTGTAGAGGGTCCCCGAGAGACAGTGTCCATAGTGGGAAGAATGTGGGGTATCAAGGTCAGACAGACCTGAGTTGGAATCCAGATAGCCATTCAATCTCTCCAGGCCCATTTCCCTTTCCGTAAAACAGGGCAATCATACCTCAGGTGGTGGTGAGCACTAAGTGAGGTGACATAAAGCACTCCACACAGAGTGAACACTCACATGACAGCTGGTATTATTATTAATCCTGCCTCTGGTGGCAGGGGAGACTTCCAGAAAGGCCTGTGGATATTTACCCTGGCTCATAAAATCTGGGAAGTCAGAGTGGCCCAAGAGCTGTGAGAATCTGCTGGTGACCTTCACCTCACAGCGTTTCTGCTGGAAATCCAGAGGGACTTGGAAGTTGGGCCAGTGGGTGGATTCAAGCAAATTGGTAGATTGAGCCCAGTAGAGCAGAGGTATTTGAGGCTGCCAGAACCCAGCAAGTTGAGGCCTCACGCTCAGGGAGACTTCTGGGACAAGGAGGAGGGGGGTCAGTTCAGACTTTGGTGGAGTAATTGCGCATTTCTAATTGGGTCTAAGGTGAGTTGAGCGCCCGAGCCTCTCAGCCCAGCGGGGCTCCCTTTTCATCCCTTCTCTGACAGATTGCTTTGTAAACTTCCTTAAGCCTTTCTCCCCCTTGCTTCAGTGCTTTAAGTCCTTCTTTATCCTCCCAGTGTTTCTTTTATTCCTCAGGCCTGCCTGGGGGCAGGCTGCTGGCCTCCTTCTGTGGGTATGTGCTTTTCTCTCTCTTCACCTGGGACCTTCAAGAGGGTGGAGGAGAAGAGAGGCTGACAGCAACGGGAAAGCCCGACTGCCTTTGGTGCCCTTGGGGAAGTAGGGGAGGAAAGACGGTGGGTGAGGGGCTTCCTGCTGCAGCCTTCAGCGGGACTCTGAGGGTTGGGGGTCACTGGAGAAGGAGGTGGCTTCCTGCCCCATTGTTCAGGACTTCATTGTTTCTCAGGAATACTTATTGTATGTGAATTTTCAATAATTAACTTGGAAAGCTGCACGTGTTCCCATCATTCAGCAAACACTGAGCACCTACTGGGTACACAGGGGGCAGCGGAGCCCCTCATCATGGAAAGGGGCCAGCAGAACCACTGGGCCAGGGTCTCCAAGTTAGGCTTTTGACATTATCTCCGAATGGGGTTATACATTGTGTCAGATCCACTGACCAATTTGATCAAAGATCCCCTTTCTGTGTCCTTAGGCTTGTTTCTTATTAACAAAGACCACTATGCCCATGGAGCGCTATACATTATTGTATTTTAATAAATCCTATAATCATCTTGTGAGCAGCACAGTTATGGCGTAATTTTTTTGTATTAGAAGCCATTAATGTATTAAACATGGAAAAGTATGCCTCAGTATTTATTTGTGAACTTGTTTTGCCATCTCTTCATTTTCAAATATACTAGGAGCATCAAAAAAATCGAAGCGCCCCGGGTTCCTCTTGACCCCTGCAACGAGCCGAGATGAAGCGTCATCCCAGCACAGGGAGTTGGGGACATGGGGGACACACCCACTCTGGGTCGTTGCAGTCCAAGTGCTGTAGTATATGATGAGCAAGTCTGTGCAGAGGAGGGGGCGGACTGACAGCAGAGGGTAGGGGAGGAGGCTTCCCAGAGGAGGTGAAGTCTGAGCTGGCTTAGCAAAGACTGTAGGAGTCTTGGAGGTGGAGAACGAGGGGAGGGAAAGCATTCCAGTCTTCCAGAACAGCATGTGCGAAGTCAGGGAGGCGTGAAAGGACAGAGCTTGTTCCAGGATGGCCAGGATTGTGCAGGGCTAGAGGGAAGAGTGTGTGGGTGGAGTGGCAGGGGGAGGAAGCCGAGCAGGGACAGTCTCTCATGTCCCCTTGCCTGCCTGCCTCAGTCTTTGGCCGTGGATCAGCAGAGCTGGTGATGAGGTGCAGATGGGGGGCCGCCTGGGGGCTGGGCTGGGGTGAGAAGAGCAGATTGACTCTGCAGGAGGAGGGGGAGTGGAGAGGATTGGAAAAGAAGTTCTTTACCAGCTCCTGAATTTCAGCTGGTTTTCTCCTGAGAGGATCAACATTTTCCAAAAAATGTAAACAATTGCATTAAAAACGTACAACAAACTTATTCAGTATGAGTTCGCCTACTTAAAGGCGTCGGATAGGCCCATATTCACTGAACATGCTTGCTGTGTCTCAGTTCTGTATCAGACACTGTGCAGGGAGACAGGACGCGGCCCCTCACAATGACCGCGGGCTGCTGTGAGGATTAAATGGGAGAATGGCGGCAAAACGCACGCACAGAGGAGGCCTGGGCACACGGGCACCATCATTGTTATGAGGGAAGTAAAACACATCACAGATGCCCTGCGAGATGAAGCCCTATTTCACGGTGGCTTAGGGCATGAACACGGGCCTGGGTTCAAGTCCAGATTCTGTCTCCTAGAAGCAAATTACTCTCTGAACTTTGGTATCCTCAGTTTGTGAAAAGAGTATGATAATACGGGGCGCCTGGTGGTTCAGTCGGTTAAGCGTCTGCCTTCGGCTCAGGTCATGATCTCAGGGTCCTGGGATCGAGCCCCACATTGGGCTCCCTGCTCCGTGGGGAGTCTGCTTCTCCCTCTCCCTCTGCCCCTCCACCTGCTTGTGCTCTTCTCTCAAATAAATACATAAATAAAATCTTTAAAAGAAAAAAGAGTATAGGGCGCCTGGGTGGCTCAGTTGGTTAAGCGACTGCCTTCGGCTCAGGTCATGATCCTGGAGTCCCGGGATCGAGTCCCACATCGGGCTCCCTGCTCGGCAGGGAGTCTGCTTCTCCCTCTGACCCTCCTCCCTCTCATGCTCTCTGTCTCTCATTCTCTCTCTCACAAATAAATAAAATCTTAAAAAAAAAAATTAAAAAAATAAAAATAAAAAAATTAAATTAAATTAAATTAAAAAAGAGTATAATAATACAATTCGTAGAGACAGAAAGCAGAATAGTGCTTGCCTAGGGCTCGGGAAGGAGGGAATGGGGAATTGCTTAATAGGTATAGAGGTGCAGTTTTGTAAGATGAGTACGTTCTGGAGATTGGCTGCACAACGATGTGAATGTACTTAACACTACTGAACTATATGTATACTTAAAAACAGTTAAGAGCGGTGCTCACTTTGGCAGCACATACACTAAAGTTGGAACAATACAGAGATTAGCATGCCCCCTGCACAGGGATGACAGGCAAACCCGTGAAGCATTCCATTAAAAGAAAAAGTCAAAACAAACGTTAAAATCATAAATTTTATGTTATGTATATGTTATCACAATTTAAAAAAGGGGCACCTGGGGGTGCCGGGGTGGCTCAGTCAGTTAAGTGTCTGACTCTTGATTTCAGCTCAGGTCATGATCTCAGGGTCATGGGATTGAGCCCTGTGTGGGGCTCCAAGCTCGGCCTGGAGTCTGCTTCAGATGTTCGCTCTCCTTCTGCTTCTGCCCCTCCCCCTCTGTGTGCACGTGCTCTCTCTCTCAAAGTAAATAATAAAATCTTTTTTTTTTTTAAAGGGTGCACCTGGTTGGCTCAGTCGGTAAAGCATGCAACTCTTGATCCTGGGCTTGTGAGTTTGAGCCCCATGATGGGTGTAGAAATTACTTAAAATCTTTAAAAAACAAAACGAAAGGGTATAATAATAGTAACCCAGTTCATGGGGTCTGAGGGTTAGTGGGGACAATATAAAGTAAGCCCCTATACTCACAGTAATGACAATAGCTAACATTCACTAATCAAGTACTTTGTGTCAGGTATGATTGTAACGAATCCTCACAACCCTTTGAGCCAGGTGCCGTTATTGCCACCATTTTACAGATGAAAAAGAGAGGCATGGAGAAGTTACATAATGTGCCCAAGATACCTGGCTAGTCAATGCTCAATAATTAATAGGTGTTATTGATACTGTGATACAAAGAAATCATCATCATCATGGTAGAATGCAGTGTAATTATTAAAGTGTCACAGCAGTGTGGGAGTTCTGAGAAACATCTCTTGCGGCCAGGGGATTGGAGAAGACTTCACAGAAGATGTGCATCTGGCGAGGGAGGCAGGGGGAGGGGTGAACTAGGTGAAGAGGATTAAGAGGTACAAACTTTAGTTATAAAATAAGTAAGTCACGGAGACGAAAAGTACAGCACAGGGAATATAGTCAATAATATCGTTAATGTTGTATGGTGACAAATGGTGACTATAATCTCTGTGGTGAGCACTGGGTCATGTATAAAATTGTCAAATCACTATGCCGCACACCTGAAACTAAGAATGTATGTCAACCGTACTTCAATTAAAAAAAAAGACACGCACCTGAGGAGAGCCTTGAAGAATGGGTAAGATTAGGACGGGGCGGTGGGAGGGATCAGAATAGGCAGCCACAGCTGGGAAGGCCCATCAGGTTTTCAAGGACAGGGCAAATACCTCCCATAGGCTGGAGCAAAGGGGCAGCAGAGGTGGAAGATAAGCCACCCAAGGCAGGAGAGGAGCTTGAAAGTCAAACCAAGGAGTTTGAGTTTTGTTTGCCAGCTGGAGGGAATCCAGTGGAGGAGACTGGAGGAACGATGCTCAGAGCCGTGCGGGGCAGATGCAGGTAAGGTAGGGATGCTCTGAGCTGGGAGGCCAGTAGAAGGTCTTTGCATCAGTGTAGGAACAAAGAAACCCTGAAAGAATGCTGCTAGTGGGCGCCTGGGTGGCTCAGTTGGTTAAGCGATTGCCTTCGGCTCAGGTCATGATCCTGGAATCCCTGGATCGAGTCCCGCATCGGGCTCCCTGCTCGGCAGGGAGCCTGCTTCTCCCTCTGACCCTCCCCCCTCTCATGTGCTCTCTCTCTCTCTCACATTCTCTCTGTCTCAAATAAATAAATAAAATCTTTAAAAAAAAAAAAAAAAGAATGCTGGTAGTGTTGGGGGAGAGCAGGGTTGGACAAGGGAGGGGCAATAGAATCAGTAACTGACAAAGAGAAGAGGGCAAGGGGAGGGTCAGAGATGGTTCTAGGTAGCGATCTTGCTGACAAATATAAAAGACAGAAGAGGGCACTTAAGAGAAGATGTGAGTTTAGTTTCAGATTAATTGTATGGAGAGGGCCAGCGTATTGAGAGGAGAAATCCAGAGAGACACTTGGTGACATAAGTCTTAAGCTCAAGGAATCTCAGGGCTAAAGACAGATTTGGTAGTCTGGATGAGCCTACTAGGAAAGATTTCTCACTCCATATAGTCTTTCAGGTTCCTGTAACCTTTAGAAAATATCTTCTAAGTTGGTCATAAGATCCTGAATGTACTTTGCTTTCAAGGTCTTTTTGGCCAAGACATTGCGGGTGAGAAGTCCTCTCCTTCATCCCAAGCATGGTCTCTGTTTCACCTTCCCTGACCTTGCCTTTTTCCTCCTGTAAGGGAGCAATCTCCCCTCCCCTGGGAAGCCTTCTTGGTGGCAGAAGTTCATGCTAACTCCCTTGCAGCTCGCCCCTCTTTGTCTTTGATATGAAGGAGGGGATGGGGTTAAATCATGAGTCCCAGCCAACAGGCTGTGTGCAAGGACTATGTGATGAGGGGCACAAAGTATGGGGGCAGGGCAGAGGCCAGCCCTGCAGGGCCTGTGGATCCTGCCAAACACAGTGGGCGGAAATGGAAGGCCTGAAATTTGGGGTGGTAGAGGGGGGGCACTATAACATGATCAGATTTGCAATTTTGAAAAGCCTATTCTGGTCAGTGCAGGGGAGAGCATGAACTGGAACAGGTCCAGAGTGGACACAGGAAGACCAGTTGGGAGGATACTGATGTCCGCTGATGAACACAGTCTGAGGCCTATTCATGCTTTTCTGTGTCCTTTTGTGAAGTGGAAGTGTACTGTATAGATGTGCGGACTGGAGCCGACTTGTTCTTGTGCTGTTCAATCTGACTCATCTCCTTTGTAAACAGTAAGGTTATTGAGGGCGGAGATTCAGTGTTTGTACTTTTTCCTGTGTTGTAACTGCCCACGACACGAGGAGCACAATGGGTACTGAGACTGTGACTACTGAAAGTCACCCCACAGGGCCACCTGAAACAGCCCGAAGTAACATTTATCAACACAGTTATATTGATAATTGTTGCTTTTGGTTTCTAGACATTTGGATGGAAGATTTGATCATGCAAAGAAAAAGTTGGATATCTCAACCCTTACTACTCAAAGCATGGTCTGTGGACCAGCAGTATCAGAATCACCTGGGAGCTTGTAAGAAATGAAAAATCTCAAAAAAATAGAAAATTAAAAATAAATAAATAAAAGTTAACCAAAAAAAAAAAAAAAAGGGCAGGGGACACCTGGGTGGTTCAGTCGGTTAAGTGTCCGGCTCTTGATTTCCGCTCAGGTCATGATCTCAGGGTCGTGAGATTGAGCCCCACTTGGGGGCTCAGGGCTGGATGTGGAGTCTGCTTGAGATGCTCTCTCTCCCTTTCCCGCTGCCCCTTCCCCCACCCTGCTTACATACGCATTCTCTCTCAAAAATAAATAAATAGGGCGCCTGGGTGGCTCAGTCGGTTAAGCGACTGCCTTCGGCTCAGATCATGATCCTGGAGTCCCTGGATCGAGTCCTGCATCGGGCTCCCTGCTCGGCGGGGAGTCTGCTTCTCCCTCTGCCCTCTTCCCTCTCGTGCAGTCTGTCTCTCATTCTCTCTCTCTCAAATAAATAAAAATAAATAAATAAATAAATAAATAAATAAATGTTAAAAAAAAAAAAGAAAGAAAAACTCAGACTCCCCTCCCCCCAGCCCAGACCCATTCAATCAATATCTTCATTTTAACATGATCCCCAGGGGATTCAGGCCCAGTTTAAGAAACACCTGGCTGTGTAAACAACACTGCTCCCCACTCCTGTGGGTAATATTTGTACCTCAGGTATGGCATTTATCACATCCTGTCCGGTGTGGAAGACTGCTTATGGTTTCTTTCCCTGCCAGGCCGGGCATTCCTGGAATGCAGGGGTTGAGCATTGTGTTCGGCTCCGGAGCTTCCACAGCATCAGGCACAATGACAGGAAGCAGAAGACCAAGGTTTTGGTCCTGGTTCTGCCACTGACAAGCTCTGTGTGTTTTTTCTTCTGAGAGAAGATTTTCCGTCCTTGGGGCGCCTGGGTGGCTCAGTCGTTGGGCATCTGCCTTCGGCTCAGGTCATGATCCTGGGGTCCTGGGATCGAGCCCCTCATCGGGCTCCCTGCTCAGCGGGAAGCCTGCTTCTCCCTCTCCCACTCCCCCTGCTTGTGTTCCCTCTCTCGCTGTGTCTCTCTCTGTCAAATAAATAAGTAAAATCTTAAAAAAAAAAAAATTTTCCGTCCTTCCAAAGGACCCACCCCAAATATGACGTTGGCAAGGCTGAAGATGGTGGCAGATTTCTATGCACCGTTTCCTTCCTATCCACCGTTTCGTCTATAGGAGGAGGCACATGATGGGTGGAAGGAGGAAGGCAGTAATCAATTCCAGAGTGGATGAGGCACGGGCATATAAGGAACGTGGGCGGAAGTTACTCCCAACAGCTGCCCTAAGAGGGAACCAAGGCAGACAGAAACCAGCCGCCTCTGCACCATCACCCTTTGAAGTAGGCACTCGTGCCGCTCCTATATTTACAGGTAAGAAAGCAGCTCAGAGAGGTTCAGTGACTTGCCCAAGTTGCCAGGAGTTCAGAGACTCCTGTACTTAGGCCATTTTAGAAAACACAGAGTCCAGGAGGCTCAGCCTGGGGCTGTCAGGAAGGCTAGGGACAGTCAGAGACTGAGACCCAGGACATGCCCACCAGACCTGCTCACAAGGTTTTTCCAGAAGGTTCTAGATTTGCCTAAAGCTCCTATAAGCCTAAAAAGCAAGCCAATGTCATTGCAGGAGGAATGTGACAAGGCCCCTCGTGCCCTACAGACTTCCTCTGAAGCTCAGGCCACAGATGGAGCTGTGCTGAGCGGGTTCTGAGCCCCAGGATCTGCAGAACTTGGGCATTGCTGTACCCTTCACTCCGAAAACTTGAGCTCAAGACGATCTGTTCCCTGCCTAGAGGGACCAGGTCTGGAGTCCTTAAAGGCCCCTGAAGTCAGCTACGAACAGGGGATGGCAGAGAGTCTGGGAAGAGACCTTTCTATACAGCGTGGGAGTCCCATCTGCTGCTGCCAAGCAGGGTACCAGCTGATGCACACATGACTCTGGGGTGGGGTGGGGTAAGCTTTGTGTCCGGCCGGTATTTTTCAATTCAGTAAAAGCTGAGAGGTTGGGATGTGAGGGAAGGGACTCAAAGCAAAGGACTGTCAGCCCACAGTCCAGTAAGACATTGACACCTCAGCCATGAGGCTCTGAAGTCTCTGAGCTTCTGCAAGAGGTTTGTCGACACAGACTCTGAGCATCATACCCCAATCAGGCTCCCCTGTTAGCGAATCAATTTTAATAACAGATTATTAGTTTGCAAAAGAATTCTCCCTCTGATCCCTAAGACCCCATTCAGAATTCAGCATTTTTCTTCATCTTAATTTTTATTTTTTCTCCAGCTACAATGGCTTAGTGCTTTCTCTTTGTTCTTCCTCACCTTGTTCACCGAAATCCTGGCTGGTGGTTCTATCAGCAGAACTACAAAACCAAAAAGGCAATACTATTTTAGAGCTCTCCCTGTGTCACTCAAGGAAGCCAGGGGTGGGGGAGACATGAAAAAGAAGGTAGTATCTGGAGCCATAGAAACCAGAGTCCAAATCCCAGCTCTGCCCTTATTGGCTGTGTGGCCTTGAATAAATCACTCAGCTGTAAAATGGGATCATAATTCTGGCCAGTGCAAAAGGCTAGCAGGTAATAATAATAGGAAATTTGATGCTGGGCATGTGGTGGGCTTTTAATTCGTGGTCAAAAATATCACTGTGATTATTAGTCATCAGATGGCTAGACTTCAGGCCTCCCACATGGCAATGGGCGCTACCTGAAAATGTTGTCAGAAGTCATGTAGCTGCCATCTCTAGTGGGCCCTGTCGCTCCAACTAATAGGAATGAAGGAAGAGGAGCTGGATTTGGAGCATGCAGAATGTGCTCTTCCCAACAGTTATAATCACAAGAGCTACCATTTATTGAGCACTTACTCTGGGCTAAGCAATAGTACATCCTCATGATCACCCTATGAGGTAGGCACTATATATTTATCACTCCCATTTTCACAGGTAAAAAGCAATTCAGACAGGTTTAGTGACTTGCCCAAACTCCCATAATACTGGTAGGTAACAAACTCAGAATAATAAGAATGGTGGTTTCTATGTGCCAGCCCATAAGTGCTCAGGGCTTTTTTTTTTGTTATGGTTGTACAGGTTGCGCACTGCACAAGAGAGCCTGGCCCCAGGGCAAGTTGGGGCTGAAACTTAGCTCCTGCCCTGTTTGCCTAGCTCTGTACCCTGGTGCAAGGCTATGACTACTTGGAGGCAGGGAGACCTTTTTTCGATTTGGCAAAGATACCATATGAGCTATCAGCTGTTAATAACAAAGCCGTTAATGCTTTGTTTATATTACCTTCTCTAATTCCTCAAAACAGCTCTGTAGACTAGATATTAATACTCCCTTTTTATAGATGAGGAATTCAGGCCTGGAGAGTTCAGGTCACTTAGCAAAGTCACTTTGTAAGTGATAAAGGTAGAATCTGAACCTGATGCCAAAGCCCACGCTCTAAACCACTAGGCCACTAAGCTGGCCCCATCCCTAAGTGCTCAATAGGCGAATAAATGAAAAATACACAATCATCTGACTTTTACCTTAAAAAATATGGCAGTTCTAATGAGGCCCCAGGGCTATCAAGGCCCTTAGTAAGGCTGCAGAAAACTCAATGGATCAGGAATTTGGAGTATTGTCTTTCAGTGCTCCAAACTGCATGGCTTTATGTTTGCTAAATATTTTTCAGTAGCTCAATTTCCTCACCTGAAAGTGAGAGTAATATTGTAAGGAACATTTCTCATAATTGTTTGCAAAGTGTGTATGCGTATGTAATAATCTTCACATCAGCCACGGGAGAAAGGCATTATCATCACCCTTTTGCTCAGGGAGGTGAGTGACATGCTCAGGGCCACACAACGAGGAGGGCAGAGTGGGACCTACAACCAGGGCTCCCGACTCCCAGCCAGTCTTGGGCTCCTTGCTAAGTACCTCAGAACTTTTGGAGCACCTGCCGGCTGCCTGGTGGCCCACACATCACCCAGTGCCCGTGCAAGTCAGACAGTAATGGAAACTGACATTAGTCACACGATCACACTGAGTTTTTTCAGAAGAAGATGTGGCAGGAAAGAGCACTCTGGGAGGAGTCTTTGCTTGGCTCCCATGCCTGAAAACAAAACCTCTGTCTTTGCAGGGGCTGGGACAGCCCAGATTACAGTCTTGGGTAATGTAGGGCTCTTCCAGAGCTGCCTTACGAAGGGAGGATGACCTGGGAGCTATTTGGTGGCAATGCCCCCTGACAGGGCTCAGCCTTCCTGTCATCCCTGGCTCTGGCAGGGTTCAAAGGAAGTCCCATCTGTGAAAGCACTTTGCAAAGAGGTGCGGTCCAAAGGCAGAGTGCTGTTGTTTTCCCTCCCTTCTGTGGATCTCAGGAGGCTGACTGCATCTGTGCTCAAATGACAGACTTGCCCATCCTGTGATAAAATGTGGACTGTTCCTCCCACCCGCACTGGGTGCCTTCCAGAACAAAAACATGCACATGCGCCCTCTCCCCGCCTCCCCAACTGCCTGCCTCTATCTCCAGCTCTGCAGACCCACTCTGCACAGGCTGGTCAGCCCCCCTTCTTGGCTGTGGGTATAGTACTCCTTCTGTGGGGCAGCGGCTGTGGATGACAGGGGAGGGAGAAAGTTACGGACATACAGACCTTCCAGCGATTGCCACATTCATTGCATAAGACAAAGGTAGTCATGGGCTCATCAGCACTGCGTGTCTGCACCTGAGAGAGAGAGAGCGAGGGCTGGACCACTCAGGAATTCACCCCCATGCTCTAAGACCTGCCATAGCTCCCACTGTCTGTAGCAGTAGGTCCAAATCCCAGAGCTTGGCACTGCTATTCCCGACCCATTTCGGCAACTCCCTCATCACTGAGAACTCCAGAGTGTACACCTCTTCTCTCTCAGGCCCATCAGCTCACCTCCAGTGCCTCACTGGCTCAACCAGTCCTCTGCACATTCACTTTTGTTCTTCATCCTTCTGAACTGATCGCTCTTCTCTTGCCTCAAGGCTCATCTCCTACAGGAATTATTTCCTGACTCACCTCTGAACACACCCTATCCACTGAGCCTCACTGGTCAGAACTTCAGGGAGCTGGAAGTGCCCTTAAAGATCTTCTAGTTTGCTCCTTTATCTATCTATCATCTATCTATCCATCCATCCATCCATCCATCCATCATCTATCATCTATCTATCCATCCACCATTTATCTATCCATCCATCATCTATCAATCTATCATCTATCTATCTATCTATCTATCTATCTATCTATCTATCTATCTATCTATCATCTGTCCATCCAAGTGGGCTCCACGCCCAGCTCCCAATGCGGAGCTCAAACTCACAACCCTGAGATCAAGACCTGAGCCGAGATCAAGAGTTGGACACTTCACCAACTGAGTCCAGGTGCCCCTCCCCCTCATTCCTTATGTTAGAGGTGCAAGACTTGAGGCCAAGAGAGAAAAAGCAAGTTGACAATCAGTGGACCCCTGGGACTCTTTAATGTCTTGTTTCCTAGTTTCTCACACCCTTGACCAAACCAGGCAGATGGCAGGAATCGGGCTTCCTGCGGCAAATCCCTTCCATTTGCAGATTTAACAATTACTGTTCTGATTTTCTACAGCCAACCCTGGATGAGCATGATGTGTTACTTTGCTGACACTCAGCTCTGACTGTGATGTCACCTGGGAGTCTGGGGGGACGGGCGGTGGGTAGTCGCAGGGCTCCTGAGTGAGCCCAATGGTGGGCCAAGAGGGCACAGCTCAGCCCAGCCTCCTTACTGCAGAGTGGTAACACGGGAGGGACAATAACACTGGGGTTTCTCTGTGCAGAGAAAACTCGGCTAATGGGCGGTTTACTTCTGGTGGGACGCAATGCACAGGAAACACATCACTCCACATGGAAATGTGCTTGGAAGAAAGCAGGAGGCTTGCACAAACATCCCTGAATTCCTGAATGGGAATCTTTGAGAGACTCCTCCAGAACAGCAAGGCTGGCTATATTTCTGCTGCAACCACAGATTCCCACGAGCAAGGTGCTCTTGACAAATCTTGCTTGCCCAGCAGATGGAAGAATGAATAGAGTTCTAGAATGGCCAGGTACAAATTAGAATCCAAGAAGAGTGGTGCCCCAAGAACATAATATGTACAACCCAGAAACAGAAGGCAGTTCTTGGGTTTTAAGTCTTTCAGAGGAGGGGGCTCCACAGCCTTTTGTGACCCACCCCCCCATGCCAGGACAGTGGTCTTCGGCCTTAGGACTTGGGGCTAAATGCCTTCAACTCTCTGGCCACGTTGGCTGTATTACAGGCAGGCAGAAAAGTCTAGATCAGGGTTTGTTACTATCTCTGCCATTTATGACTGTCTTGGCCATCTTGGACAAAGCTGCGAAGCTTCACTCTTGCCTGGGCCTCAGTTTCCCTAAGTATGAAACAAGGGAGCTAAGTTTTCTATTGCTAAGTTTCTTTCCAACCATCTGTGACTCTACAGATGTCCATGCCTGGTGAGTCTGGTTCCTCCTATTCTTGCTTCAGGGCAGGCCAGAGCATGCTGGCCATGCCTCACAGACCCCAATCTGGGTGATTCTACATGCAGGAGAACATTTTCTAGAAGCCACAGGTGCAGCATGATGGTGGACCAAGACTTGGCCTTCTCTCTGCAGCCCGGAGTTTTAGTCCTTTCTCCCGATCCCCCCCACCCCTGGCTCCTCCCTAAGCTGCCTCTCCACCTCCGCGCGCCCATAGCCCCCTCTCCCACACCTGGTTATAGGTACAGTTCTTCTTCTTGCACTTGCTGCACTGGAAAAGGTCAGTGGTGGTGCCGCCTGTCTTGGCCATCTGGTGCTCACGGATTGCCTCCTGGGTCATGGCGTTCCTCAGTTCCCTCAGCTCATCGCTGGCCATTTCCTGGAGAGAAAGGAGTCTGCCCTTCAGGGCGAGAGAGTCCCAGGGGCCCTGCCCCCCACCCGGTTTCTAGACAGCCTGAACAGAGGAGAGGGGAACATGCTGGGCTGAGGGCAAGGAGCTGGAGGGACGCCTGGACTCCTGGCCTTGCCCCAGCTTGGAAAATGCTATACCCAAAGAGTCCCCCTCCCGCTTTGGGTGGAAGGACAAACCTGCAGGCTCTGACTGGGCCAAGAGCAGAAGGGCGTGTGTGGGAGAGCAGAAGGCCAACAGCTTCCGCCCCAGGGGCAATAGCTTGTGTACATTTCCTCAGATCTGGTGCTCACCCTGCCTGTCAGGACCTTGGGTACCTGCCTGAACCTCCTGCTTGAGCTGCCTGGACGGTGACCCCCTGATCTGCGCTGTTCCCCTTATCTTTCCGGTCTGGACTTGACCCCGTGCCTATCCAAACTTTGACCACTGCCTAGTTCATTCTGCCTGCTGGGAACCTTGACTTGCTGTGGCTACCCTGACCCACGCGGGACCCGAAGCTCCTGGGTTCACACAGCTAACTGCTCCCCTGCATCACAGAACATCTTTTTTTTTAAGCTCCTATAGAACAGGGGCGCCTGGGTGGCTCAGTCGTTAAGCGTCTGCCTTCGGTTCAGGTCATGATCTCAGGGTCCTGGGATCAAGCCTCGCGTCGGGCTCCCTGCTCCGCGGGAAGCCTGCTTCCCCCTCTCCCACTCCCCCTGCTGTGTTCTCTCTCTCGCTGTGTCTCTCTCTGTCAAATAAATAAAACCTTTAAAAAAAAAAAGCTCCCATAAAACAGAGTCCCCTGGCTCCTGTCAGCTCACTGTAGGCACTCAGTGTTTGCATTACCCAGGTCCTACCTTTATCCATCTCCCTGCTGACTCCCCTTTAAACCTCTGACAGAGGACAGCAGAGGAGGGGACACTCAAACTGGAGAGAGCTCTAGGTAAGGTTGGTTTAGGGGAGGAGGGATGGCCGGAGCTAATGTTAAAAGGAGAACCTGGCGCCGGCTGAACATTTCCATTGTTGCTATCTATCCCGACTCTTTAAACCACGGAAAACAGAGTTGGCAAAAACGTCAGGTGATTGTAATGTGCTGACCGCTGCATTATCACCACCTGGGCTTCCTGATGAAATGCAGAGTCCTCTGAATCCAAAATCCTAAGAGGGGCAGGCCCGGGAATCTTACTAGTGCCCTGAAGTTATTCTGGTACATGCCAATGTGTAAGCCCAGCCCTATTAAGTTCAAGGACTAGGTCCTAACCATGGGCAGGAGTATACAGAAAAACAAGTCAACCTGGGGCCAAATAGGCAAAAAGCAGCTAATTTTAATTTGGGGGGAAATCCAGAGCATAATGCATTCATTCAAAATGTATCGGATGTCAATTTACTGAATGCCTTTAACTGCATTTGTGTGCTGGTGATGGGCCTTGGCCTGACTGGGGCGTGATTTCCATAGTGTAAATGCTCCTCCCATGGCCAATTTCAAGCTACTAATGTAGTGTAACTGAGTGCAGAGCTGGGAATAGCTACACAGGATCACCTCTCTCCAGCTGGTAGGTGCTGACCGAGGACTGCTGCTTCTGAGCCCTAAGGATTCGGATATGAAGATTTGCTTCCTGTCCCCAGGTAATGCTAATCTGTACAGTAGCCAGGTATTTAGACAGGATTGCAATATAGCACAGGAGGTACTTAATGCGGAGGTACACGAAGTATAGGGGGAGGCCCAGCGTAGGATGGCTAACTGCTTCGGGGCAGGGGAGGCTGTTAAAGAAGCGGACACCTTGGGCGCCTGGGTGGCTCAGTCGGTTGAGCGACTGCCTTCGGCTCGGGTCATGATCCCGGAGTCCTGGGATCGAGTCCCGCATCGGGCTCCCTGCTCGGCCGGGAGTCTGCTTCTCCCTCTGACCCTCCTCCCTCTCGTGCTCTCTGTCTCTCATTCTCTCTCGCAAATAAATAAATAAAATCTTTAAAAAAAAAAAAAAAGAAGCGGACACCTTAACCAGTCTTGAAAGATAAGCAGGAGTTCCCAAGGGAGACAGCAGTTCTAGAGAAAGAGAACAGTAGACACAAAAGATCAGACAAGAATAACACGTTTGGGGAAGGGTGTTTGGGAATGTGTTCAAGCTGGGAGATGTGGCAGGGGGGTCAGATCGTGGAAAGGGGGTCTTGTGTGCCAGCTAAGAAACAGAGAACAGAAAAAACACCCACTCACCAATCCATTTACCTGTCTCTGCCCTGCCTCACCGAGGAGGTAGCGTCAAAGACACGTGGAGTAAATACAGTGCTTAGTATAGTATAGCTCTCTAATAAGGTGGGCATGAGGCTGGGGATAGAGCGCGAGAGGACACTGGTCCTCGTGTGTACACATCTCTGGAGGAGGAACCCCGAAGGTGAACCCCGTGAGTATGCGCTGCACACCTATGTCGTGCCAGTTACGGGTCTCAGTGCTGGGCGAGCAGCGCACAGACAAAACCCCCCTCCTCACGGGGCTGACGGTAGAGCCACTCAACAGCTCTAAAGAACATCTCAGAATCAACTCCATTCTGGGGTACGTCTGTGTAGAGAGGAGAAGAGGGAAGACTGAGGCAGACACGGGATGCGGAGAGGGACACACACGTCCACAGGCATCTGCTCTCCCAGGCTCTCCCTGTCCCCTGAGCCAGGGCACAGCAGACCGCCCAAACCCAAGCTGTTCTTTTTCTTACTGGGGCAAAAATGGTCTTCTATTTCTTATAGAAACTTCCTGCCTGGGGCCAGAGGTCCCCAAGGTGAAGGTCTCCACTGCATTCGGTGCCTGGGCTGCTGGCAGAGGGTAGGGTCCTTGGCGCCTGGCCCCGTGGAGGGCCTGCTAAGTTCTCAGCTTGCCCCTCTTGGTCTGGTCAGCCTCTTCATGGGTATGGGTTGCCCACCTGATTCTCTTGCTCTATTCTAGTGAACCGTCCTTGGGTGGGGCCAGACCATCCACACATCTGGCTTTGGCCAGTTACTTTGCTGGGATGTCTCGGGCCTGTCTTTGTCTTGATCCAAACACTCAGCTCCATTCTGACCTCTAGCTTATGGGGACTTGCTGGGTTTGGCTCAAACCTGTGTCTGTACCTTGCTCTTGGTTCTCCTGGGCCTGGTCTTCCCATGCCTCGGATTGCCTGGAAGAGTCTCCTGGTAGCATTCCTACAATGCACATGCATAGAGGTAGAGGGACCCCAGAGCCATGGAGTGAGGGACAGGGACGAGGAAACACAAGGCCAGGTTTCCATAAAAGTCACAGCTCCTTGCAAGGAAAGAGAAGATGCTGTAAAGCCAAGTTGCAATTTGTAATTCTGGGCATATGTTGCTATTTGCCTAAGAAGATCAGATTTTTTTTTTTAAGATTTTATTTATTCATTTGAGAGAGAGCACATGTGTGCCAGAGAGACAAGCTGGGGGAAGGGCAGAGGGAGAGGGAGAAGCAGGCTCCCCACCGAGCAGGGAGCCCGACGCGGGGCTCGATCCCAGGACCCTGAGATCACAACCTGAGCCGAAGGCAGATACTCAACCAACTGAGCCACCCAGGTGCCCAAGATCAGATACTTTGAATTAAGCAGAAAGAGAACTCTGGTTCACCTGGGCCAAGTTCCCCATTTTTATGCTAAAGCCAGGGCTCACTCTTGTTTTGGGTATTTGAGGAAAGCAATGAAGAGAAGAAATGTATATTCCCCCGCTACATCCCCCCCAACATATACTAAATATCAAGTACACTCCACACACCACACACATTACACGTCATACATACCCACCACACATACCACAAACACACACAGGCACACCTTGCCAACAGTTTCAGAGGGTTCCTAGACGTCCTGAGGTACAGCCAGACTCCAGGATCCCAATGCACTTCCCCTCCCCTTTGTCTGGGCCACTTTGGTTTAGTGGTGCTTTCACAGAATCCCCTCGATCAGCCCTCGATCAGTACATCCCAGTATGAGGGCCACTCATACCTGAGGGTGTACAAAAGGTGTTTCCAAGATGTGGGCTCTGAAATAAACCGATCTGGGTTCGAATTTTTATCTGTCACTTACTAGCTGTGCGTGGCTTCAGTTTTTCTCATCCATAAAATGGGGATAATTATTTCCTCTTTCACAGCATGGTGCTCGGGGTTACATGAAATGGTCAGTGACTGAGCCTATCATGTACAAATTCTGGGGAGGGCTTTACATATATTAACCTAAACACTCACATATATTAACTCATTCAATCCTTCATGAGATAGCTATTATTATTTCTTACTTTTATTTTTAAGGCGTGGGGCGTGGAGCCCAACTCAGGGCTTGAACTCACAACCCTTAGATCAAGATCAGAGCCGAGGCCAAGAGTCAGACACTTAACCCATTGAGCCACCCAGACGCCCCATGTTAGTTATTATTCTTCTTCCTGTTTTACAGATGAGAAAACTGAGGCACAGAGAGGTTAAGTAGCTTGTCTAAGAGCACACAGCTAAGTAAGAGAGGCAGAATTCAAACCCATGCAGTTCTGAAGCTTGTAACCACTGCCCATACTCCTTGGACAGGCTGCTCCCTTTTCCTTCCCTTCTTGACCCCTTCAAGCTGGGTCAATCCTTCCCTGCTCTAAGTTCCCATGGTGGCTCGATCATGGCACTTACCTCCTCTGTATTGTACAAAGTTGAAAATATGTCTGTCTCCCCACCTTGGATTGTGTTCCACAGAGACAGGGTCTGCTAATCTGGCTTGGGCCCAGGACTGAACGAGGCAGAAGAGGGAGGTAGACGACCAAGCAGTAAAGAGTGGGTGCTCTGGGGCCAGACAGCTTGCCTTCTGGCTTCGACATTTTCTTTTTCTTTTAAAGATTTATTTATTTGTTTATTTATTTATTTATCGACATTTTCTTTTTCTTTTAAAGATTTATTTATTTAAGATTTTATTTATTTGACAGAGAGAGAGAGACAGCAAGAGAGGGAACACAAGCAGGGAGAGTGGGAGAGGGAGAAGCAGGCTTCCAGCAGAGCAGGGAGCCCGATGCGGGGCTCGATCCCAGGACCCTGAGATCATGACCTGAGCTGAAGGCAGTTGCTTACCGACTGAGCCACCCAGGCGCCCCTATTTT